AGATTTTATTAGACACCCCCTTGACGAGCCCTGACTTAGTTTTATTTGTTAATTTGAAAATGACAACACAGACCCAGATTTACATGTGAATTGCTGGTGCAACGTTAAATAAAACTGTACTTCACAATGGAAGCTCATGTGACCTTCACCCACGTCTGGAAAAAAAAAACCAAGACAAAAACACAACTCAACAAAAAACCCCAACTATTTATACCACTAATAATTATGCTTTTGGAAACAAAGAACTTTGTGTAAGCTCAACAAAAAATAGAATCATTGGCTAGAAATGTAAAAGCTTTAGCTGCTTTTCTGTTGCCTGAGGACCAGTGTAATAATAACTAAAGGTGCTGGGAGGGAGAGAGGGGAGCAGAGAGTCATAGATGGATGCGTGGGGTGAACAGAAGGCAAGGGACAGTGAGGAAGTGATGAGATGGTGTAACAAGGGGCTGTGACCAATTTTAAGCAATGCTATGAAACAAAATGTGTATGAAGAATTAAATGGAAACCAATTAAAAAAAATCACCAATATCATTCGAACCACAGGCCCAGAATCTCAGGCAGGGCTCAAGCTAACCGCTGCGCTCCGGAAGCAGCACTGGCTACATTAATAGCTTCTATAATCATGTGAATTGTTCCTGAAAAAAAAAGAGTATCTGGAGAAATTCAAAGGCGCTATTAATAGCTATCAGGAAAAAAAACCCTGTGAGTCAGGAAAAAAAGCCAACCCACCAAACCAATGAGAAAAATAAATCAGAAAAATTAAGATTCTCACTGAGAAAAGATGACAATTGATGTGCTCAAGGTGACTGGCTGGCATTGCCACGTCGTTTCAAATGTCACTGAGCAAAAACCAACCAATCCCCAAACAACAACACCACTGAGCAGTCTCCCCACGCACCAGTTCCACTGCCTCCAAGTTGATTCTGACCCCCAGCGACCCCAGAGGACAGAGCAGAGCCTCCTGGAGGGTGTGCGAGGCCGTAATGTGTACAGGAGCTGATGGCTTTGCCTTCATCCCAGCAACTGCTGGTGGAGAGAGACAAGGTCGTGTGCCTCTGAAGGGCTTACACCCTGTGATCTAGCACTCCCACTTTTGGGAAGAGAAATGGAACCCGTACACCTCCTTCCTCATCCTCTCGGCCATGAGGCACTAGAAAACACGCACGTTCGCAGCACCGGTTTTCCTGTGATTATCACTGAGGGAGGCCTGTAAGGGCTGAAGGGCCAGCAGGATCATCCTGGACTGTGTTTCAGAGGCCGTGAACCGCAGGGATTGTGGATTCAAACCGTGTGCATTCGTGTTGCTGGCGCAATTCCTTTCCACTAAGCCCCCAGAACTTACAGAGGTGGTATCATACAGTATTTGTTCTTTTGTGGTTGATCTGTTTTATGGAGAATAATGTCTTCCAGACATTGTTATATCTATGTATTTCCAGACATCTGAGTTCTGTATTTATTTCATAACCTTGTTATTATTCTTTATGATTTTTTTGGTTCCACGTTTTATTTGCCTATTCATCCTTTGATGAGTGCTTGGCTGTTTCCTCTTTTCTGAGCTCTGAGGAGACCTCTGGGCAGAGTCGCTTGGAGGTGCTGGTCCGCAGGCCCAGGGCTCAGGACGTGGCCATGCTCCAAGGCAGAGGTTCCAGCTGTATTTCAGGGCAAGTGATGAGTGAGGAGGAGGATGAAGATGGAGCTCCCAAGTTGATCCGCAATCAGAGAACTCAGGAATGGGAATAAGCAGGGTTCGGCAGGAGCCGCCCAGAAGGGTGGTGTCAGGAAGGGAGGTGGTCCAGAGGTGCCCGTGCTGCCGTGGGTGTACGGGTGACCACTCCTTATGAAGTGTAACTGCAGTGTGGGGAGGACAGCCTGGTATTTGGCAACAGTGTGGTCCTGGGTGATTGCTTTGGACCAGATCCTATTTGTTCCACAGACTAAGAACTGTCAACGGCGGCTGGAGGCAGAGTGTGGGGAGCATAGTGGCGCAGCTCCTCGGAACACCAGACAGAGCTTGCTCTTGGGCTCCTCCTTCCTATATGGGGGACTCAGGACCCTTCCTCTTCTGGCCTGGCAGGTGGGGCCTCCCCCAACTTCACTTTGGTCACTGGCCCCTAGCCCAGATAGGCTCAGGCTGGCAGGAAGCTCATCCCAGAAACACAGGGAAGAGCGGACAGTTAAGAAGGACCCCGCCATGTACCCAAGCCAGGTGGATGGCTGTGGATGACCGCAGGCAAGCTTTCCCCCAGTGTGGGGTGGGGCGCTGGTCCTAGAGGAACCCGGCCCAGGTGGAGCAGAGCCAACAGGCAAGCCAGTCCCAGGCCTCCAGCAGCAGCCATTCCGGGAGCGGTCAGGTGTTTCCTCCCACACTGTTCTCACCTGAGGCTTTGTAGGAAGAGCGATATGGGTCTGATCCTACGTGTCAGTGTGCAGGTAGAACTTCCTCTTTTCATTAGGAGAGAGAAGTTGGACGAGGAAGTGAGGAGGTAGGTAGATGGCTGCTATCAATTAGAACACCAAATTCAGTGAGGTTGCCTGGGGTCTTCCTACCTGCTGGCATGTGGGAGTTTACTGTCGTGCTGTTGTGCCCGTCAGGCTCACTGACGGTCCCTTACCCTCGCTGGCGCTCTGTGTCATCAAGTATGATATCCTATGCAGTGACTCTAGGGATTTCTGATGGCTTAATGGTGAGAAGCTGCACTGCCAATCCAAAGGCAAGCGGTTCAAATCCACAAGCTGCTGCAAGAGAGAAAGGTGGGCCATCTCCCTCTAAAAACTCACCAGAGAGTCAGCTATGGGTTGGTTCCAACTTGATGGTACACAACAACAATATTAAGTGACTGATGGCTTAGTTATAGCGCCCATTCAAATGCAACTGCCAAAGATGGGCAATCTCCGTTCCTGCCTCTGAAAACCCGCCGCAGAGTCTGCTGTGAGGGCTCAGGCTCAAAGGGACACAACCACCCCTGCAACTTTCGTGATTAGGCTGGACCTCCTGATGATGTGTCCAAACCAAACTAGTCACCAGCTGTTATGATTGTTAAGGATTTCATTGGCTAATTTCCGGGACTTTCTTCCTCATCTTAGTTGGGAAGTTCTGCTGAAATCTGTCCTCTTGGGGTGACCCTGCTAGTATTTGAAATACCGGTGGTACATCTTCTGGTGTCACAATGACCATCACAGCACAACAAGCTTCCAGACAGGAGGGGGAAATAAGTATGTACAGGTTACACACTTCGTGTAACTTCCTGTTAATGTGTAGAACTGTTAATGATTAACAATAGAAAAATAAAAGTATCTGATTGGTACAGCTATTATTTATTATATTAAGAATTAGCACTGAGACAAAATTCAATTCAAAACATAATACTGAAGAGTCTACAGTTTAGAATCTATTTAGTTGATTTTAGAAATCACACCACCCAAACGGAACTTTATCATCAGTTTTCCTAGAGAATCTTTAAGGAATTTTTCCACACCATTATTTGGCTCTGGCAAATGTTTCTAGGTCACAAGCATTGGCCACGTTAGATAAAAAACTGAAGTACAGTTGCTAGGCACATGCTCAGAGGACAATATGCACAAATGACAAGAATTACAAATCAACTGAACTTTTCAACACATATTTGAATTTTAAAAATAACCAGTGTTCTAAATATATTTAATTTAAAACATATCTTGAAAACGGTTTAAACACAGCCTTTATTTTCTAGTGCATGGGGGAGTAAACCCCCCCCCCCCTTTGATTTCTATAGCAATAACTCTGTCCCAGACCAGGACTGTTTTTCTCTCCTTGAGAAGCTGAAGAGCCTTGGCATCTGGTTAAAACCTTCCCTGGAGGGAAATGTCTCCAGATGAGAAACAGTGGATCCAAGAGACGAACGAGGGCGGTCGGCTCCACTACGGACACAATCAACCACTGGGAAATCCAGCCAGTCACAAAGACCTGAGGCCCTGAGGCCCTTGGATCCCGTCACAGCAACACAAAGGTTTCGAACACTGGTTGGCACAGGGAGATGGGGTGGGAGGAGTGACAGCAACCTTGAACCATTTCAATTTGACCTCATATTGGAACTCTCGGAACTAGGCTAGTGTTTGCTTGTGAAAATCAACGAGCTACTAACAGTTACAAATTATTTTTAAGCCTAAATTCCTTGCTAGTGAAGCTGTTTTAATAAAGTGGTTTCACACTGTTTACAACAATGCTGACACCACAAATTCATTCATTTCATTTCCCTCTCCTTCTGTTCCTTTCCTTAGGGAGCTCAGGTGGCCCAGTGGGTAATGAGCTGTACTGCTAAACCAAAGGGAGGGTCTCTTGCGCGGTTCGAGGCCACCAGCAGCTCCTCAGAGAAAGATGGGCAGTCTCCTCCTGTGAAATTTACAGCCTCTGATAATCAACTGGAGGCTCGGCTATGAACTGGCTCTGTCTTGGGGGGCAATGAGTGTTCTTTTCTTAAGTGAAATTTGCTGCCCATCACTCATCTGCTTTGGACTTCAAACGGGCACTAATGAGTGCAAGCCAACTGCATGTGTAAATACACAGGATGCAGCTATAAAGTTGCCTTTTGAAGTTTACGTCACATGTGGAAATGAGATAGAGCTCTCATTTATATCTATTCAGAGCTACGCTGAATATGAGACCTGCTAATACTCACGCCCTTGCCCAGCTTCTAGCCAACATTCGTTCGTATAAAAATAAGTATTTACTCTTGCAGTACCCTTCCTTTATGTATCATGGAAAATAGGTTCTTTCTATGTTCTTTTTCTGGGCTTACCAATCAGATAAGAAACATCGTAACATCAAGATAAAACATTTTAAAAAACAAGGTTCTTAGTAGAAATGGATTTCTTTAAAAAATGTCTACTTTCAAAGCAGCAATTAGAAACTCTGTTCTTGTAACACATATAATAATACTGTTTATATCAAATTATGGACTTAAATAAGTTTCACTTAACAGTGTTTTTGTTCTTTTCGTGAAAAGAGAATACTGACTTCTGTGTTACTTGGCAGCTTCTCCATCCTTCCAGTTCCAAGGAATACAGAGGTCGCCGTCTTGCATGACAGAGTAGAAATGGGACACACAGAGATGCATCCCATGGAGGTAAGGCAATGACTGTTCAAGAAGTCTTTTACAGCAATCCACCATTTGTTTACTGGAAACGCTGGGCTCCTTATATAACTTCTCCAGGGAGAACTTCTTTGTTGAAGCCTTTATCAATTCATTTTCAATAACTTTTAACCTGTTGTATTAGAAAATAATGTTGCCATCAGTGATAACTTAAAAACCCAATAGGTTAAGAGCAGAAAGACATAGTGGTCACTGAAAGTGCAGGGAGTTAAGTTCTAGTCTGAGACACACAGGGTTGCCAGGAATCAGCATGGACTTGATGGTAATTCATCTGGGTTTGAAGGCATGAACATATTTATTCTAAGAGAGGGGAAGAGAATGTTTCAAAGAAGTACACTGAGTGCACATCAAAGCAGGATCTGGTCTACCACGCGAAACCCAGAAATCCAGGCTGCAGCAGAAACCCTGGTGTCCAGAGGGAGTACTGCAGTGCTCCAGCTAGTTCTGTAGCATGGTGCACTTTTAGCTAATTCAATTTATATGTATTTTGTAGAGTGCTCTGGTGGCCTAGTGGTAAGGTGCTGCACTGCAATCCCAAAGGCACGTGGTTTGAATCCTCCGCAGGAGGATAGGCGATCTCCCATGAATTCACTGCTTCTGAAAACCCGCCCCGGTGGTCAGCTATGAATTGGTTCTGACCTGAGGGCACACATCCACCTTTAAAGTATTTATGTTCTCACACCAACTTGCAGTATAAAAAAAAGTAAAAACTCTACATTCTCTATATATTAATCATTAAAATTATTAATAATGCTCCACAAGCCAACTGGAGAAGCAGCCCCTTCAATACGCTCTACAACAGTCTTAGGATAACTAAGGGATGGCTGCCAGGGTTTCCTTGGGTTGCCACACTTTTTCCTCTTTATTTTACACTAGTGCTTTTTTGAAATCTGTGGATGTTGAAGGCAACAAGGTAAGAAAAAGAAGGAATCAGATTGCTTCTACCACCACGCTGCTGAAAAAGTTGCCACAGATCTCAGATTCCACATCCCTGTTCTCTTTCTCTCTCCTCCTGGGAAGTCTCTGAGCCAGCTCCTTCCTGCTCCTGTCCCCAGGGCAACTCAACACTACTTGACATACTCCCACTGTCTGCTCCCTTGATATACCTGTCACCCCCAAGCCTCCCACTACAAACAAACTCCAAGATAAGAGAGAGGAGGCTTTCTCCATCTTACTCTCAACGGCACTCCCCCCAGCTGCCGACACACAGCTTCACAGTTTACGATGACTATATAAATGAATGAACTCATGGTTACGAAATCTCCTTGGGCATTATCTTCAGAAAAAGAACCCATTTGGGAAGAAAACACTCTCCTTTCTTCATAGTATATATATATAAGAGAGAACCAAGCAGCACTTTGATAAGAAACAGGAAATAGTTTGCTATAATGATTCCTTCAAAGAGATACAGAAGACACAGAAACGGGACTACTTTTTAACGAAAATGATGTTTTTCTTTTAAAATTCCTTCTCAATCTAATTAAGACAGGAATGAGGCTTTCTTGATAGCACTAAAGATCAATCCATCCAGTTGTTCTTATTGTTGTTGTTTGTTGTTATGTGCTGTTGAGTCACTTGCGACTCATAGCGACCCTATGTACAACAGCCCTAAACTCCACTCTGTCCTGTGCCAATCGCACTGTCTCTGACACTCCCATCCCAATTATCCCAGTCACTGAATCAATCCACCTCATAGAGGGCCTTCCTCTCCTGCGCTGTCCCTCCACCCTCCCAAGCATGATGTCCTTCTCCAAGGACTTGTGTCTCCTCACAACATGTCCAAAGTATGTTAGACGGAGCCTCAGAATCCTTTCCTCCAAGGAGCCACCTGGTTTGACCCTTTCCGGGACAAATTTGTTTGTTTTCCTAGCAGCCCATGGTATTCTCCATACTCTTCTCCAGCACCACAGCTCAAAGGCATCAATTCTCCTTCTATCCTCCTTGGTCATTGTCCAACTCTCTGATGCATAACAGGTGACTGCGAAGACCATGGCCTGTATCAGATGCACCTTAGTCTCCAGAGAGACACCACTGCTCTTCAGTACTTTGGAGAGGTCCCTAACAGCAGACTTTCCCATGGCAATGCGCCTTTTAATTTCCTGGCTGCTGGTGCCAAGACTGTTGACTGTGGAGCCAAGCAAACTAAAGCTGTGTACAATCTCAATCTCTTCACCATCCATCCTGATGCTGCCAATTGGTCCAGTGGTGAGAATCTTTGTCTTCTTGACATTGAGCCTCAATCCATATTGTAGGCTGCAGTCCTTGACGCTCTGCAGCCATCAAATAAAACTCATAGTGACATGATGGACAATAGATCTGAACCCTGTCCTCTCCTGTGCCATCCTCACAATCTCTGACACACCTGAGTCCACTGCTGCTGTCACTGTCAATCTCTCTTGCCAAGGATCTTCCTCTCTTTTGCTGACCCTTCACTTTTCCAAGCAGCATGTCCCTTTCCAAGGAACAGCTTCTCCTAGCAACATGCCCCAGAATATGTAGTAATAGATTTTTTCCTCTCCCCCTGGTGACCAGTCTGCTCCATCTCTGACATTTTCATTTTGAGATTAATTTTAAAAAAATAAGAAATCTTTCTAAAACTGAGGCAGATGTTGATAAGATTGAGTTTATACTTGGAGATGACACTGCAAGCATTCAGGGTAGTATCGCTATAGAAGGTTACCATATTTACAGACCAGCCTTGTCAAATCTCTTGCAGAACAAGGTGGGGAATAAAGAAGTACAAGAGATTCCCAAACAAGTAACCTGCCCAAGTTTCATACAATCAGAACGTCCCGTGTTCATCAGCTGAATCCCTGACCCTTAAACATGACACTGAAGGATGTAAGCCAGGGCAGCAGTACTCACTCTTCCTTTTTCTTCAGATTCTCTCTTGCCTGCTCGGCTTTGGTGAGAATGAACCACTGGAGGCTGGCTGGGTCGCAGAGGACTGGGATGTTAAAATGCCCGAGTTCATGCAAGCTGGGAGCGTATCTGTCACTGAAATTAAGCATAGGGTAACTTTAAGCATACAGTAATTCTCTCTCACCTGTTTCTCCAAGAGAATGATTCTGAGTCACTAAAAAAAGAATGAGATACCATCTCACTCCAATAACAGTGGCAAAGTTTAACAGGGTAGAAAGTAATAAATGTTGGAGAGGATGTGGCGAGATAGGAACGCTCATACATTTGCTAGTGGGATTGTAAAGGTTATAACCATTCTGAAAGGCAGTTTGATGCTTCCTCAAAAAGCTGAACATAGAAACTCCATATGACCAAGCTAGCTATTCCACTGTTTGGGGAAGCTGAACATAGAAACTCCATATGACCAAGCTAGCTATTCCACTGTTTGGAATATATCCTGAGAAAATGAGAACTGAGGCACAAACGGAGACTTGTACACCAATGTTCACAGTAGCATTATTCACTATAATAAGAAGATGGAAACAGTCCAGATGTCCAACCACAATCGAATGGATTAAGAAATTATGGTACATTCATACAATGGAATACTATGTGGCACACAGGAGCAATGATTCTGTAAATTATTACCTAGCTTTGGAGGGACTGGAGAGCATTATGCTGCGTGAACTAACTCAGTCCCACAAGGACAAATACTGTATAAAACTATTATTGTAGAATGAGTATAAGGATCAAAGAAGGGGAGGGTGGAAGCCGAGGGATGAGCGTGTGAGCGTGTGTGGGAGGTTGGGGGGTGGGGGTTAATCATGTGGTTGCACATTTTCATGGAGGGGTGGTGAGGAAAATTGGAAGAATCTGGTCTGAAAAACAGTGTTTTAGAATTTTGTAAATAAACGAGTATAATTTTAAAAAAAAGTGAAGAAAGAAATCTACTGGAGATATACCTTAGGAATATAGAAAAACTGACTTTTCTTTTTGCTGACTTCCCAAAAAACATATTTGGTCAGAATGACCACATACTTCCTAGCTCTGTGACCTTCTTCATCTGTGAAATGGGGATAGTATTCACTAGTACGGTTTTGAGACCTGCATAATATTAACTCTTACGTACTAAGTGCATATAATGTACATAAAACCCCTCTACCATTTAGGCAATTCCAAATAATAGTGTGACCTTTCATTGGTTAGTCAAGGATGTAAATCTTTATGGGAGGAAATGGCCCATCTTTCTCCTTGGAGCAGCTGGTGGAGTTGAACTTGTGACCTTCTGATCATATGGGCAACAAGATTGTACTATGTCACTAAAGCTCCTTTTTTTTTTTTAAATTTCATTACTTTTTGTGTGTACTGTCAAATCAGATCTGACTGATACAGGAGGAGATCGTTCCTCCTTCTCCAGCAGAGCATCTGGTGCAAAGCTCCTTATAATGCTTGTAGTACTAAGTATACTGACATTTAAGCACAGTGGCTAGCAAACTTTATGTACACAAAAGAAATGATGGTTATGGATTTAATAAGAGCTTAGTGCTATAAAGTTTTCCATAAGACTGACATTGCCCAGGAAGTGGATTTAAAATCACAAAATGTTCCAGAGATTTAATCCTTTGATGGTGGCTTTTCTAATGTGGAAATGAGTACTACTACTGACCAAAGAGGTAATGTTAAAAAAAAAGAGGTAATGTTCTTTTTCTTAAGTTCTAAGAATTGTACACAGAAATAAGAGAAATTGAACCTATTCAGACAAACAGCCCACTTAAACAAAGACATGAGAGTAATCTTCCTGGTTTATTTTTATGATTATTATTATTTAATCTTCCTGTTTTAGACACCCACCTGTTAAGGATCATTTGTAAACCACGCAGGCTTCGAGGATGGAAAGGTATTCTGTTTTTCAACAGTCTGTTATAGAACACATCAAGGAGAGAGTAATACTCTTCGAGTGTCAGCACCGGCTGTAACTCTTCAACATAAACGACTTGGATGCCACCCAGAAGATAGCTTATCTGGTCTTCTAAAAGGATCAGCCTTCTCTGAAGGTCAAAATAACTTGGCAATCTTTCAAAAAGCTACAATTTTACAAGAAGAAAGAAAAAGAAATACACACCTTTATGTTACTGAGAACATTCAATTCCCAGGAATGCTATCTGAAAATTTCAACAAGATTCTTTCCACAAAATTAATTTCCTATAGGAAAGCTCAAGTAAGAGAGAAGAAGAAGATAATATAACATTGAAAATACTAATGTTCAAATACAATACTGAAAATATGAGGAATTCTTAGTTAGATAATAAAGAGCTACAGAAAAAAGAAATCTGCTTCAATGAAAATAATTTCTAAGTGGTGCTGGAGAAGAGTACTGAATGTACCATGGACTGCCAAGAAAACAAACAGATTCAACCTGGAGAGGGTTAAACCAGGCTGCTCCTTGGAGGCAAGGATTCTGGGGCTTCGCCTGACATACTTTGGACATGTTGTAAGGAGACAGGTCTTTGGAGAGGGCCATCATGCTGAGCAGAGTGGAGGGACAGCGCAGGAGGGGAAGACCCTCTATGAGGTGGATTGATTCAGTGACTGGGGTAATCGGGATGGATGTGTCAGAGGCAGTGAGATTGGCACAGGATAGAGCACAGTTTAGGGCTGTTGTCCATAGGGTCGCTATGAGTTGCAAGTGACTCGACGGCACATAACAACAACAATATTAGTATAATGATGGACAAATTGTGTACACTCGAGAAACAGATCCTCACCTATTTAGACAACTGATATTTGAGAAAGAGCAAAGGGAATTAGTGGAGAAAGGACAGCTTCTTAAGAAATGATGTTGCAACAATTAACTATTAGATACCAAAACCAAACCCAAACCACTTAGATTTGTATTTCTACTATCCACAAAAATTAACTCAAAAGGAGTCATAGGCCTAAGAACCCTGAAATTATGAAAGTTTTCAAAGAAAATAGAGTAGAAAATTGTTGTGACATAGGGTTAGTCAAATACTTCTTAGACAACATAGCAAAAATACAATCCATGAAAGAAAAAAATGAATAAAACAGAACTTTATCAAAATAAAACCCAAAACAATAAAACTAACTTCCACCCTTTGAAGAGCAAAATTAAGAGGGTGAAAAGATGAGTCCCAGAATGGGGAAAAATATTTGCAAATCACACAGCTGATTCTAAACAGAAATTCCTGTATTTAGACTCACAAAGAACCCTCCAACTCCATAATTTGAAAGCAACAATTTAATTAAGAACTAGGGTAAGGAGCAAAGATTTAAACAGACATACCACTAAAGAAGCATGTGGGTGGCAAAGAGGCGAGTGAAAAAGACACTCAACATCATTACTTAGAAACGCAGATTAAACCACTGTGAAATGTCACACAGATCCCCTGAGGAAAAAACTCAACAAAACCCCAACTGACCCCTTACAAGTTTTTCCACAATAAAATAAATGAAATAAAATTTTAAAAAACCCCCAAAACAAACAAAAAAAGCCCCAAACCCAACTGATGTCTAGCCAGTGCTGACTCACAGCAAACAGCTGTCAGGTCCCCGAGGCTGATAATCTATGGGAGTAGACTGCCTCGTCTTTTCCCCATGGGGTGGCACACCACCCGACACAACACACTCTGTGCCACCAGGGCTCCTCACACCTCCAATGTTGTTGTTGTTGTTAAGTGCTGTTGAGTTGTAAATGACTCATAGTGATCCTATGAACAGAAGACCTGAACACTTGTATAACTCTCATCATTTCTCCAAGTTCACTGAGTTCCAATGTTGTTGTTGTTGTTGTTTTTGATTGCCTTTGAGTCAAACACGACTCATAGCGACCCTATGAATGAAAGACCTGAACATTTGTATAACGTTCATTGTTTCTCCTAGTTCACTGAGTTCCAATGTTGTTGTTGTTGATTGTCTTCGAGTCAAACAAGACTCATAGCAACCCTATGAACAAAAAGCTTGAAGACCCTCTACAACTATTGACATTTATCAAAGTTCATAGGGTTTCCGGAGGCAGGCTATTTAGGAAGTGGATGCCACTCCTGCTTCCAAACAGGACAGCTAAAATGTAAAAGATGACCATCCATGACAGTTTTAAAATAAGTTAAATGTAATCTGTTGTGTATCATATGATCCAGACATCTTCTTACAGACAAGGCATTATATACGCACACAGACACTTGTATACAAAAAGTTCTCATCATCTTTCTGTGAACTGTCAAAAATGGAAAAAAACACAATTCCCATCAACAGGAGAATGGACAAAAACATTTACAGTCCAATGATGCTTGATGTGGTATAAAATGGAATGAACTCTTGATGTATATGACAACATCGGTCAAGCACAAAATAATTATGATGAGTGAAGACTGACCAGAGAGCATATCGTCTGATTCTAGCTACACAAAACCCTGGAAAGTACACACTAATTTACAGTGAGAGAAAGCAGACCAGCAGGTAGAGGGGCAGAAGGAATGGGAGGTTTACCAAGGGCCACGAGGACCTGTCAGAGGACGATGGGAGGCTTGCTAATGTGACTGTAGTTTCTCACTGGTGTCTTTAAGGAAGTTTAACTACATGGCATCAAACATCTCCTTTGAGAACAGAGGAAGTGATAATTACAAATATTTCCTTTAGTTCATGACATGGTATCATTCACCGTTTTAAAAAGAAGTTCACTGGCCACAATTCAAAGGCATGCCCTTGGTTTTCAGCCTTTTCTTACTTTTGTCCAGTGATGATGGACGTCCATTGTCCCCAGCATCACGTGGCCCACGGCACTCATCCCGGACCGGTCTGTAAATATCAGTGTGCATCCTGGGGGTGACAAATCCATGGGTCACTGTCCAGAGAGGCAGCAGTCTTTTGACAGTTGTGCAAATAAACACATAAATTTAGTGTGGAAATAAAGGATTAAATTCAGTAGAAGTTTAAAGGAGAATTTTATGTCACTGCGTTTTTCAAAGATTTAAACATTCAGTTGTGAGAAGGTTCATCTCTGAAAAGACTTTGAACACTTTGTTTGCCCCTACAGTTTGGAGGTGATATTTGAGAAGAATATTGGATGACGTTTACCTTTTGCAGTTTTAAGAGTTTCCAAGTTCTGCTGTGCTAATCGGCCTAAACTATGCAGCTGGCTACAGCGATGGGCGATCCCCCAGCTCCTCTGCCACCTAGGCCAACAGAGCACACAGGCCATTAGCAGCCAGCCTCCCTGAAGGAGGAAGCAGGCAAACTGCTGAATTGCGGTCCACAAAGTCTTTTCTTTCTGAAGGAGGCACACAGCATGTTTTAAACTGACTTCAGCTCTCCAAACTAGCTGAGTTTTCAAGATGCAACCAAACAAAACCCGACTTATTTACTAGGATATGCCAAAGACATTATGACTTGTGCCCAGAGTTTTTAAAGAAGTAAATGCACAATATTCAAAAGAAAAGGACAAAATAGGAAAAGTGAAACAAGACTCTTTTTCTCATTCATGCATATTGTAAAATAATAAAGGTTTTGTTTTATATTTATGTCTTAATTAAGGGTGCCAATTAGGTTTATCAGATTCTTTTTCATACTACAGGAAATGATTTTTACGACATGGAATTGTCTAATTTTATGAATATTACATTTTAGCAACAAAATGCAACCTGCTGTCCACACAACACCACCGGGGCCTCGCTGGACTTAATGATGTTCAGAAAATGCAGCTTGCGGTCCTCCTCTACAACTTACTAACCCCCTGTCCCTGAGCGAGCTGCTTTAACGTTACTATAGCTTTCTGCTCATGGTGAAAAATGGGGGCATTTCCTACTTTACATGGAGTGTGAATCACGTGAGAAAAGATATGTGACGGAGCCAGGCACTCAAAACCCTCAGGTCTCTACTTCATCTCACACTGATTCTTGTGAAAGTCATTTCTGATAAAATGAAAAGGATCAAAGAAAAATTTATCCCTCTAACTCACAACTCAAAAACTGAGATATTTCAGAATTAACATGAATTTTGATTAGTTATAATTTAATATATTTAAGAGCTAAAGTATTAAGTGGTGTTTTCTTAATACATGGTCTCCCACACAGGCTGTTTAAAAGTAAAAATGATGTGATTAGTCATAATTTTTCTGATTTTTAAAAAATTATTATTTTGTGTTTGTGTACTATAAAATTGGATCTGATCATTACAGGAGGAGATTGCCCCTCCTTCTCCAGCAGAGCATCTGGTGGAGTTGAACCATGTACTTTGGGGATTACAGTGTAGCTTCTTGCCAGTGGCTACCAGAGCTCCCTTAATTTTTCTGATTTATATAAGTGGAGTCTTCTGCCTATGGTCTTACACATTTTGGTCTCGGGACCCTTTACACTCTTAAAAAAAAATAGAAAATCTCAATGAAATGTTATTTATGTGGTACATTTGCTGATATTTACCATATTAGATATGGGAAATTTCTCCACAAAACTATAAAATTGTAGATATGTTAATGTCTTTTTATGTTTAAGAAATATTTTCATTTTCCTATTTCTAGTTAGCTTTAACAGACATTTAAAAATATATACTAGGGGGAGCTCTGGTGGCCTAGTGGTAAGGAGCTGCAACTACAATCCCAGAGGTGCATGGTTCGAATCCACCAGATGCTCTGCCGGGAGAGGAGGGACAATCTCCTCCTGTACCAGTCAGATCTGATTTGACGGTACACGCACACACACACAAAAAAAATTTCAAAAAAAAATATACTAGAACAAAAAAGAAAAAAATGTATACTAGAAAAAAGTTTTTTCATGCACACGAATTTATTTTATAAGCTGTTATGTTCCTTTTTTAAAAAAACAACCTTACAATTTTAGTTTTAGTAGTTAGAAAAGTCTATGTTACTTGACTAAGGAGCAGGACAAACATCTCTAAATCAAAGCTTGTTCTGCACACTAGAGATCAAAGAGCTCAGATATTCCACATCCAAAGGTCTTTTTCTGAAATATTAGTTTATCTTAAAATGTTGCTATTGATTATCAACCACAGAAAAGCTGGTTTTTTAACAGGGAGTAAGTACCTTTATGGGTAGGTAGATTCAGTTTTACAAATCCTTAACTCTATTTTTAAAAATAAATTTTAGCGTACATTTTTCCTCCCCCTCAGCATATATTTTTATATAGTTCTATTTCTAATATATTTTAAAAATCAGGACATATCACTTAGAACTAAAGGGCATAACATCTCTTTAAACTATTTTTCCATATTTTATTTTATTTATTTTTTTATTTTTGTGTGCATGTACCGTCAAATCAGATCTGACTGGTACAGGAGGAGATTGTCCCTCCTTCCCCGGCAGAGCATCTGGTGGCTTCGAACCATGTGCCTCTGGGATTGTAGTTGCAGCTCCTTGCCACTAGGCCACCAGAGCTCCCCTCCATATTTTATCTTACTACTCATTTTTACTTTGCTATTTATTATCAATATATGCCATTTAAAATATGATGAAATATTAAGAATATTTGGATAATCAGTCTATATTTTGAGATATTTAATTCAAGGCAAATGCACCATTTTGAATAATTTACCCTTTGCTTTTCTTTTTTTAGATTCTTTTATACCAAACTCACACGATGCAGGCATAATTACTTTTATACTATGTGTAAGGAAAAAGATACATGTTTTTATAAATTTATCACTCAAAATAATTAATTACTATGCCAAAAATCTCAGCATTTAAGTCTTGCTTCAATCTTTTCAACAAGTAATTGATGTTTTCTTACACAGATAGCTTTCCTAAGAAGATAATTGAAGAATATTTCTTTATTAGCATAATTAACATTAAAGATGCAAATACTTGGGTGCTGAAAGTTTCACCAACAGGCAACATGACCCTTATTTATTTTAATCTCTAAACACAGTCTATTACCTGATATCTGAGAGCTGCAACTGATGAGAGAGTTCACTTTTCAGACGATCAAGTTCTTTCCTAAGTGGCAAACTCTCCCTCAGCTTTTTAATGGCACTTTTTTCATTGCTATCTAGCCAGGATCTACAAAGGAAAAAATGGAAAGATTTGTACCAATACTAACTATGATACCAAAATTCCTACTACTAAGATGTGCATTATCTGAAAATAAGCCCCAAATCAAATTAGAGTTTTCAATAAAATTTTCACCAAATTATGTTCTACCAAATCTATTCATGAAGGATAAGCATCTATATTCACAAATACATTGCTTGGAAAACTGCAAGAACCTATTAAATAACATTGTAGTTGTTGCTAATTGCTGCTGAGTTGAGCACGACTCATAGCGACCCAATGAACAAAAAACTTGAAGTGTTTCAGTCTTAATACTCAAGTTATTATAACTGATTTAATAAAATTAAATTTCAATGACACCAACTTGTCACTAGATTTCCAGAGAAGGGGATACCATATTATTATTATTATTTTTTAAGGTTAAGGACATTTCAAAACTTCTTACTGACATCTGAATATGGAATGTGTGGCGAATTGCTTCAATGAACAAATGTCTCCTTTGCCACGGCATCAGAACAAGATAGATTAATGGAAGAATCTTAATCAAAAGAGGAGAAACGTACAACACAATTTCACATTTCTTCCGCAATTCAGAATTCCTAGAGCTATGAAGGGTGCACACACCTTTAACGTTAAAGATGCGTTAGTATCTTTACTAGTAACGTTAGTATCCTAAGATATCTTTAAACCTGGACCGACAAATATCCCCTCAAGTCATTTTAAAATCAATCCTTTAGTTTAACTAATAAAAAATAGTCTGCCTTGAGCATTATGGTTTTTTTTATGCGCAACCGACAACAGTTTGTACCTTTTTATGGTTAAATATGGTCATACACTGCTCCAATGTAGGAATATACCATATTTTGTGTGTCCATAACTGAGAAATTATATATTTTCACTTGCCTTTTAAAAAAATTAATAAGTAGTAATGAATCAATGGAACTCCTGTGGCTTAATGGTAAGAAGTTGAGATACCAACCAAAAGGTATAGGGTTCGAATCCACCAACTGCTCCACAGGTAAAAGGTGGGCAATCTCCTTCTGGGCAGTTTACAGCCTCTGAAAACCCTCTGGAGGTTGAGCTGTGAGTTGGCTCTGACTTGATGGTACACTAGATGGCCTGGTATAGTGCTAGCTGGGTGGCTGCTGAGATCAGAGTCCAGGCAAGACTGAGCACCCTGTGCAAACAGAGAATTCTGCCCAGTCCCTGTGGAGGAGATACTGGATGCCCTCTCCAAACAGAAGTTTCCTCCTGGGCTCCCACCGGAGAACTCTGGTCTTAGTTTAAAGATAAAAAGCTCACCCATTGTTATGCTGACAACACTTAAGTATAAGGAAACTATAGTCTCATGATTTCGAATTTATTTTTATTATTTTTGGCTTAAACTAAATGAAAACCATTGGGAGACAGAGAAAGGGGCCTTTTCACAGTGCTAAGTGGTGAGAGGACCTCTGCCTAAACCTTCCTCCTTTTCAGAGTTCATTTTCTCGTGTCCCTGTTTTCTTTCACATCCAGTTAACAACAGCTCACAGCAACAACAACAATAAACTAGCAAAAAAAACCACAGCTGCAATTTATTAGCTTCAGACTCATGGCGATGCCAACGGTGTGAAAACAGAACTCTGCTCCGTGAGGTTCTTTGTGGCTAATTTTCAGTACTAGATGACCGGGTCTTGTTCCTAGTTTCACTTGCTCTGGAAGCTCTTCTGAAACCTGTCCGGTGTCATGGCAACACACAATCTGCAACGGACAGACTAGGGGTGGTTCTGCAGGAGGCGCACTGGTCAGAAATGGAACATGGTGCCCTTCAAGGAAAGAGCCCTGGTGGAATAAAGGGTCAGGTGGGAGCCGAAAGGTCTGAACCCCTGAGCTGCTCTGTGGGAGTAAGATGTGGCAGCAAGCTTCTGTAAAGATTTCTAGCCATCACGCTTTACAGAAAGAAACCTTACGGGTCAGTTCTGCTCTGCCTACAGGCTTTATTAAGCGTGTGGATCTGGTTGGTGTGGTTTTCTCTCCTACAAGGAAGGAGAGAATTCTACCAAATTCTACAGAACCACAAATGTCCTCTGCTTGGACATAACACCTGAAAGGACCAATCCTTACAGAAGGACATCGTGCTTGGAGGAGTGGAAGGACAGCACAGGAGAGGAAAAGCCTGGATGAGATGGACTGACTCAGTGACTGTGGCCTTTGGGTCAGGTGTGTTGGAGATGGTGAGGTTGGCTCAGGACAGGACAGGGTCAGGGCCGTTGTTCATAGGGTCTGTACGAGTTGTCGTGGATTCAACGGCACAAGACAATAACAGCAGTAGGTATAAATAGGTGTTTTTGCGGGCTGTGTCCCAACGTATACAAAGCTGAGGACCCTTTCTTCTAGATCATTCTTATGGCAAATTATTTAACCTCCCTCTGTAGCCTCTGGGTATAACTTACATCATTCACTTGTGCATTTCTAAACCAGTTTTTAGATTCAATAGCCTCTTACCTGCCATGACTGGTTCTCATCCCCCCCTTCTCTCTGTCTCATTACCTCTGTTTTACCATTAAATGATCATTCTCACATGTCATGCATTTAGGGAAGTGACTTAACCACCACTTACACATATAGATTGCTATACCACAGGTGGGTGATCACAGAGATCTGCCTCCACACACATACTTGCCTCTTTACTGTATCGCACCCCACCACACTCCTGTCTCACCTTATTTGGGATCTAGCTAGCTAACACAGGGAGGAATTCCTGAGAGAATACAGATAATCCACAGAGCTGCCAGTCAGCGAGTGCACAGGAAGGATAACTGACCACATCACAAGGAGTAAGAACCCTCTGGTTAGCCTCTGGACTCAGCAGATGGGACAAAAGGGTCATCACTGTTCTTCTTGGAGCTCACAAAGGACTATCAAAATTAAAATCATTAAAAAGCTCACAAACAAGGTACATCCAGAGAGAGAGAAATATTTTATACAAGGTTTTATAATGAAAAATTATCCTTTCTTAATGATCTCTTCCAAATTATGTTTTAAATGTTTTCCTCATCTTTTCACATATTTGTGTTGTTGTTATGTGCCGTCGAGTTGCTTGCGACTCATAGCGACCCTATGTACAATGGCCCTAAACTCTGCTCTATCCTGTGCCAATCGCACTGCCCCTGACACACCCATCCTGATTATCCCAGTCACTGAATCAATCCACCTCATAGAGGGCCTTCCCCTCCTGCGTTGTCCCTTCACCCTCCCAAGCATGATGTCCTTCTCCAAGGACTGGTCTCTCCTCACAACATGTCCAAAGTATGTTAGACAGAGCTTCAGAATCCTTGCCTCCAAGGAGCCACCCGGTTTAACCCTTTCCAGGACAAATCTGTTTGTTTTCCTAGCAGTCCATGGTACTCTCAATACTCTTCTCCAGCACCACAGCACAAAGGCATCAATTCTCCTTCTATCCTCCTTGGTCACTGTCCAACTATCTGATGCATAACAATATAAGTTCTTCAAAACTCAAACTCAATGCCATCAAGCTGGAGCCAAATAATAGCTGACCCTCTAGTGGGTTTTCAGGGGCTGTAAAGGGCACAGGTGAAGACTGCCCATTTTTCTCCCACAGAGCAGCTGGTGGACTGGTCTTTGGGTTGGCAGCGCAATGCCTTATCCACTAGATCACAAAAGCTCTCTTAAAAGTTACCACCCTTAAGGATATTATCAGTGAACTTACGGTAAAATGGGAAATGCCTAACACATAAAGGTTTCTGGCTTGGGCAGAGCTTTCCTTCATATGCCTAAGGCATCCTAAGTAAAATTTAAATCCTTAATGAACAAAATTAGAACCAAACCAAACTATCACCCATGAAAATTTTGTACAAAAGGTCAAAAGTGAAATACATTTCAAATTATTCTGGCAATTTAAACCAAGAGAATACAGTATATTTTCCATGATTGTTACTGGATTAACTACCTATATTATATTGATAGAATTGCTTTTCCTGGAAAAAAATGAGCCTTTAGTTTTAAACGTGAGCTTCACGTCAGAGTTGAGTGAAATAAAGACGTTAACATACATGAGGGTTGTTTCCATCCTTGACACCTGCTCGAGGTCTTCCTCAGGGTCCTTAAATCCGGTGAAGGAGTAATAAGATTTGTCCCATTTGATGGGCCGGTCTGGCATCCTCCTGCCTTCCTTGTGAGGCTGGGACTGCACCTGAGCACTCAAGCTTTGGATATGCTTGGTGGATAAACTGCAGGAGTTGAGAATATCGAGCACGGTGGTCAGCAGGTCTCTGGTGTGCAAAGTAAACCTCACGGTCCGGAATCCTGGAGAAGAGAATGGCCCCTGTTAACGCAGCTGATCTCTGACTTTAACATTAAAAAAACAACAATCTCTCATTCAACATTTATAAAGTCAGTGTCTTCCAAAAGCTCTTTAACACTGGTTAAAATTCATGTAGAAAGAGAAAACTACTTTCCTCTCCTAAAACTGGACTGTTGTTATGTGCCATTGAGTCGCCTGTGACTCATAGTGACCCTATGTACAACAGCTCTGAAGCCTGCCCTGTCCTGAGCCAGTCTCACTTGACTCCAACACACCTACCACCATTACCACAGTTACTATGTCAATCCATCTTGTCCAGGGTCTTCCTCTCCTGTGCTGTCCCTCCACCTTACCAAGCAAAATGTCTTTTTCTAGGGACTGGTCCCTCTTGGCCATGTGCTCAAAGTATGTGAGATGGAGCTTCAAAATCCTTGCCTCTAAGGAGAAACTTAGTTTCACTCTCTCCAAGACAGACTTGTTTGTTTTCTAGGCGGTCCATGGTATGTTCAACATTATTCTCCAGCACCACAATTCAAAGGGATCAATTTTTCTGTCATCCTTAGTCATTGTGCAGCTCTGTGAGGAGGCCTGAGTCAGGCACACCTTAGTCTCTAGAATGACATCATTACTCTTTAGTACTATGGGGAGGTCCCTGACAGCAGACTTCCCAATGCAATTTGTCTTTTGATTTCCTAAATGCCTTATTTTTACCTTCAGGAATTCCTCTTCCTTTAAATTAATTCTCAAGTCCCTAATCTTTCAGTTAGCATCCCAACACTTAACATATTACACTAGCAGTAGCATAGTTTTCAGAACTTTATTTTTTTATATGTATGACAATTAACAATCTGGAACTGGACAAGCATTGCAAAGTGAAATGATCAAAGGGGAGGAAGGAAAATGTAAGATGTTGAGAAACAATGTCATTGCTTGGTTTAAAGACCAAGAATTGCCTGATCCAAAGCACGGTCTCTTCAACCACTTGCTGTGCATCCGAAAACTGTTCAATGACCAAGGATGACAGAAAAGTTATGAGCTGTGGTGTCAGAGAAGTGCGCTGAATGGACTGTCAAAAGAACAAACCAGAATGTCCCCAAGAAAGTGCAACCAGGGCATTCCCTGGAAGCAAAGATGGCAAAGCTCTGTCATATATTTTAGGGATGTTGTCAGAGGAGCCAGTTCTTTGAAAGGTGGAAAGTCAACAAAGGAGAGGAAAACCATCCACGGGAAGGACTGACACAGTGTCTGCAACAGCGGACTCAAATATATGAGGATGGTGCCAGGGGGTGGTCCACAGGGTCATTATGAGAGGTAGTCGACTTGATGGCACCTCATAACATGTCCCTCTTGCCTAACAACGAATCATTACATAGTTTCCCCTACTCTGTATATTTTTCCTAAGGTGCTATTGTTGTTGCTGATGCACTTGATCGACTCCAACTCAAAGCAATCCTATGTCCAAGAGATTGAAACTGCACTACCATGCACCAACCTTCACTCTCCAGTGTTTTTTAATCCACTGTGGCAGTCAATGCACCAATTCATCAATTCCACCTCCTTGGAACTTCCACCCTTCCAGGCATAATTGCTCCCACCAAGACTGGACCCTTGTGATGGCGTGCTCAAAGTAAGATGTTGCCTAATCATCCTTGGCTCCAATGAACACACCGGCCACACCTCCCCCAAGACAAATCTGTATGTTCCCAGATGCCACCCCACTGTCATTACAATTTAAATGCTTCGATTCCTCTTTAGTCACCGCAACCTTGTCCAACTTTCACAGACACAGGAAGAAATTGAAAATCTGTGGCCTAAATCAGGTGCATTTAGTCTTTAACCCGACATCCTTGCTCTTCAGAACTGTGGAGAGGTTCCTGTCGCCGCTCATCTTTCTCTTGTTTAACTGCTGTTACCTTTAGGGGTTTGTCAGAGCCCTTGTAAATTGGCTTTTCCAACCACTGCTTTAGGCCCCGCTGTGTGTGTGGGATGATCTCCAGCTACCTTAACTGCAGAAACAGTTTTGCAATCATCAAAAGCTATGAGACCAATATAATAGAGCAATTTCCACAATGTGAGAAATGACAGTGGTGGTGGTGGAGAGACTGTGGTCTTGCTGTGAAGAGACTGTGGCCCTGCTCTGAAGAGACTGCGGTCCTGCTGTGAAGAGACTGTGGCCCTGCTGTGAATAGACTGTGGCAATGTGTCCAGAGGAACCCTGGAGATTAAGGGCACAGTTAAAGGTTTTGCTTGCTGGATAGCTGACGGAAAAGCTGGCTAGTAATTGCTCTGAGATAAAGTCAGCTAGATGACTGAGGAAACCAGAGGGTTCTTGTATTTGTGCTGTTGAAATGAACCTGAACTTTCAGTAATTGAGGAATTGTGCCTTGTTACTCTGGTTTGGGTTTAATGGACTAACTCTGTACTTGCACTGTGAGATATTTTGTGCCTATCTCACTCCCCAAGCTATTTACCTAATAAGCCTCCACACTGTGAATAAAGTCTGTGAGTCTTGTGACAAACACTGGACCCAATGATTGGTAAAGATCGGTGCAGGAGCACAGGGGGTGGCATGTTTGACTATGTGGCTATTTGCACAGTATTATGGATGTTACTGATGGAGAAAGTTCCCCTTTACAAAGCAGACAGAAATCAGATTTGACCTTTTCCACGCTGTACACGATCCTTCTCCACCATAAATGTTGATTGTGGATCTAAGTAAAACAAAATCACTGACCACATCCATCTTTTGTCCATCTATTATTATGTTGCCTCTTGGTTCATCTGTGGGTTTGTTTTTGTTTTGTTTTATTTTGTTTTCTTGATACTGAAGGCAATAATAATTTATCTGCTTCAGTAAGTTCTTCAAGTCCTTTCTGCTTTCATAAATCAGTCACATTGTTTTGAGGACTCATTATCATTCTTTATGGCTATAGAATATTCTACTGCATGTAATGCATTTTGTTTAGCCATTCATTCCTTGATGAGACCCTCTGCTGTTTCTATACTGTGACTAGTGATGTGACGAAAATAAGTGCATATATAGTTACGTTTCCTCCACTAGATATATAAGGTATATATGGTTGAACTATAGTTTTATTGCTAGTTTTTTAGGAAGTGGTAGACTGTTTTCCATAACCTGTAACATGCTGCTACTAGTCACTTCTGACTCTATACCACCATACAGAACAGACAACTGTCCCAACTGAGTTTCCAGGGCTGAATTTTCACAGAAGCAGACTGTTACAGCTTTCTCCTCCAGAACAGCTAGTATGCATGATGTCTTTCTCCAAGGATTTGTCTCTCTTGGCCATGTGCTCCAAGTACGTGAGAAGGAGCTTCACTTTGCCTCTAATGAGCAGCCTGGTTTCACTGTCTCCAGGACTGACGGTTCTCCTGGTGGTCCACGGTATGTTCAATACTCTTCTTCAGTACCACAACACAGAGGCATTGATTTTTCTTTTCTCTTTCTTACTTATCGTCCAGCTCTCCAAATCACAGCAAGTGACTAAAAAGACCACAGCCTGAACCAGGCACACCTTTATCCTCTGACACCACTACTCCTTTAACTTGGAAAGGTCCCTGACTTTAGACTTCCCCAGTGTAGTAAGTCTCCTGACTGCTGGTACCAATTGTATTGACTGCAGATCCAAGTAGGATAAAGCTGCTGAGAGTCTCAATGCTTTACCCATTGTGATGTTGCCTATCGGCCTGGTGGTATTTTTGTTTTCTTGATGTTGAGATGCAATCCGTATTGAAGGCTACAGTATTTAACCCTTGTAGCAAGTGATCCAAGTCCTCCTCTCTTTCAAGCAAGGCTGTGTCATTTGCATAATGAAGGTTATTGATGATAGGAATGATCAATGGAAAACCTTTGTCTTGTTTCTGATTTTAGAAAGGAAGCATCTAGTGTCTCATTATTAAATATATTAGCTGTAATACTGGTGCTCCTGATGCTGGACAGTGGTGGGGAGCAGCAGGGTCTCCAGGTGGCAGGGCCAGCTGTCTAGTGGTCAGGGCCACACTGAAATTACAGCCCCGCAACCCTGCAGGCAGTGGTTCTGTCACCGGCCAGGGGGTGAGTGAGCCTTGACGGAGCCACAGCCTTTATCGGACCTAGGAAGCACTGGCTGGAAGGTGCTCCCATCTGGTTATGCCACACAGGTCTTTACATCTTGCCGCAAAGAAATTACAATTTCAGTAGGAATGGGCGGGTCCCGTGGGAAGAGGGCGGATCTCGCAGGAGGGGGCAGGTCCCGCGGGAAGAGCGTAGTCATCCCAGTTTTCAGAACTTTCGAGGGCATTCTCATTCATTGCCATGGTATCATTTATAAGTATCTTATTTTTAATTTTTCTTTTTCTAAATTTTTATTGTATTATTTTTATGTGTACCGTCAAATCAGATCTGACTGGTACAGGAGGAGATTGCCCCTCCTTCTCCAGCAGAGCATCTGGTGGATTTGAACCGAATACCTCTGGGATTGCAGTGCAGCATCTTGCCACTAGGCCACCAGAGTTCCCTTTCATTTGTTTTTCTAATGAACCTTGTGTGACTTCCACATCCGTGGGTATAGATGTCCCTCATTCTTTTTAACAACCGCATACTAGCCTATATGAATGTAATGGCACAGCTGATGTAATACTTCCAACACTGGGGGTCACAGAAGTTGTTTTCATCATCCCTTCATAGGCAGAAATGTATTTTCTCGTCCTTGCCACTGGTCACTGGTGACAGTTGGTGTCACTTGCCACACACATGTCTGGACTCCAGAACAAAACCTTTGTCAGCATCTAGCTTCCTCCTAGTAAATATGTTCGCTGCAACACTGGTGCTCCTGGTGCTGGACCGGGGACACACACACACACACACACACACACACACACACACACACAGGGTCTCCAGGTGGCGGGGCCAGTGGTCTCACTGAAATTACAGAACACACAAAGGAACACTGACACTATGTGAATTGTCTGATAGCAAGGTGAAGATCACTGGCAGGAATTGTTGAAGTCACAGAAGAAGGAAAGGAATATCCATGAAAAGAAAAGACACTTGCTCTCAAAGTTAAGAAGCAGTTGATCAACCTTAGGCCAGGGGTTAGTCTTAGTTTCTCACTTAATTTATCCAGGGGCCATTGAACCCAGTGTGCCATCTCGTGAGGAATGTCTATGCTAGTCTGCACATGTCTTTCACTGGTTCCTTAGGATATGTTTTGAGACGAGGAATTTCTCGGTCAAAGGGTGTTTCTGATGTTTTGAAAACTAATTCCTCTAAAAAGTATGTATAAAGTGAAGTCCCTACCAGTTATGTATGAAAATGCAGTCTCACCATTAACAAGTATTATCAGAAAACAAAATATTAATAGGCAAAAGCTAGTATCTAACACTTTTTGAAATAAATTATTTTAATTGTGATTTTAATGAAAGTTTATAGAAAAGGTGGATTTTATTCATTCTTTGTTGTACAGTTTCCTCCCTCTCCCCTCCGCTGGTATCTAACAATTTCATGTTACATCTGATTAAAGCAGCTAACCATTGTAATATATGCTTCTGGCTATTTGTTTTATGTCCTAAACGGCATTGCTTTTGCCAATTCTAATGGAATTACTCTGTAACAACTTCTTATATAGTGATACTATTTTTTCATATGCTGTAAGTTTTCTTCAATTTCTAATTTACTTTTGCTATAAATGATTTTTGTTTACTGAGTGTCTAGTTCAAAGTTAACATCAATTGAAAAGAAAATATTTTTCTCTTTACTCAGCAGAGCTGATTACAACTATTTGTTCTAGCATGAACTCTCAGAAAGCTCTTAGTAAATCTTCAACCAGTTCTAAAGTTTATCCTAATAATAAGGTGGATGTGCTCCCTCATGGACCAGCCAAAGAACATGGAGCTGGGGAAGTGATTTCTTTATGGATGTCAATGCATTAATGATGCAAAATGGTTCCTGAAACTTCAGAAATGAAAATGACTAGCAAATAATTTACTATATCTTAACTGTCAGTGTACAAATGACTTATGGTTTCTAGTGTTCTAAAAATAAAAACGGAGAGAAAACACTTGACCTTGCTAAACACAATGATATGTGAAAATGCGTAAGTAAATCATGCAACAGGTATCAAATGAGGACATCTTAACCTCTGTGTTGTCTTACAGTTACATTATGCAACATCATCTTTTATCAATTTCAGTGACTAGATGGGACCCTGCGGAAGAAGGAAGGGCACCCTCCTCTCATGCACTTTACTGCCTCGGAAAGCCCACTGCGGAGGGGGTCAGCTCTGAGTCGGTTCCAACTCAGTGTCACAGAACAACATCAAAACATCAGACTAGGACAGGAGATCTTAGTTCTAGTGCCAGCTCTGTCTCTAATTTGCTTTGTGAAACTTCCCAAGTTTCCTTCTATTCTAAGCTTTCAAATACAATTAACTCTTTAAGTGTTAAAAAAACCCCAACAAAACACAAACCCACCCAACATTTAGATCAGATGCAGTTGATGATAGTAGCAGAAGTTGTAGTTGTAGTTGAAGAAATGGCTTGACTTCCCCAAACACATAGAAGTAAAAATAAACAAAAACCTCAAGCTCATTACTGATGAGTTGGGAGCAACTCATGGCTGATCCAAGCGTGTTTTCAGAGGCTGTAAATTGGACAGGAAGAGGCTGTCCACCTTTCTCCCAGAGAGCAGCTGGTGGACTCAAACCTCCTGTGTTTGGGTTGACAGCGCAACTCCCTACCCACTATGTCACTGGAGCATCTTAAAAACAGACTGGAGATTATATTTTAGTTTTAAAACACTATAAAAGGTGTTATTTGCCTCTATGAATTCTATTTGTTCTCCTGGAGGAACCAGGCATGATTAGGCTTGCATTGTTGGGTTGTTGTTGTGTCTCACTGAGTCAGAACGAACCCATAGCTGACCCTCCAGTGGGTTTTCAGAGGCAGCTGATCGCACAGGAGGAGACTGCCCAGCCTTCTCCCACAGACTGGCTGATAAACTGGAACTGTAGCCCTTTGGGATTGCAGCACAGCTTCTTGCCACTAGGCCACCAGAGCTCCCCAGGCCTGCATCAGGTAAGCATTAGTATGATGTTTCTAAAAGTCTCAGTTTAATCCTGATTCAACGTACTAGAACTTGACTCTGTACTCGAACATGTTTCTCTTCAGGAAAAACACAGTATTTGGTCTTACACTGACAGGGACTGCTTAGGGGAGTCTCATGGTTAAGAATGGCATATTCATAATGTATTACATAAACAATGATTCTTTTTATTTTCAGACGGAACTATTATTCAGAGTGATAAGAAGAATGATTATAATTTATAACATTCTTTAGTTGAACCATTTTTTATTAAAGGAGTGCAGGAATACAGGCTGACTTTTCCCCTCTAAATAGTGAAGAACAGAATAAAATTCCAAATCTTAGGTTGATGGAGAAAGAGCCAAGGAATGGAATTTGTGTATTATTCCTGGTCTGTCATATTTAATCGTGGGAAAATAAAAGACAGGAGAAACTGCATTAGGAAATGTTCTCTTCAGCATAAAGATCTCATTTTAGTACTTTTTGACACAAGCTCTTGTTCATGTCACCGAGTTTCTGAGAGCTGGGGGGAGTTACAGGTAGATGTTAGGAACCCTCAATGTGAGTGGCCTCTACATCAAACTTTAACACCTTCATTTTAAAAAATGACCAACTGGAAAGCTGTAGTCAGCAGCACAATAGATTCTAGGTCTCAAAGATCAATTCACTTCTGAGCTTTAACAATAGATTTTTTTCCCCCCTTAGCACACAGGAAGCTCTTAGTAAATCTTAAAAGTGTTTTAAAGTTCATTCTAGTCTACTAACATACCACCCTGAACATGTCTGAGTTTGTCTGAAGCTCATTAACAGTATAGATCACTGAATGCTATGAATCTGAAAAAAAGCATTAGGCTTTAAGGATCCTTATCTAAATATCTGACCTTGATTTTCAGTATTACTAAATTACGGCTAAAGCAAGGACAAATAATACCTAGAAGAGAGTCGGACATGAAGACTGGTTACACTTTTAGGAAGCATACACCGTATTCTACCTTTCTAGTCCTGGGAAGTCACCGAGTTCAAATAGAGAACATGCTACATGATCTCATAGAGTATCCTAAGAACAACAACAACAACCACCAAACACACACAAAACCCCAAACCAAAACAAAGTAAGCTGTTATTTCAGGAAAATGTAAACAATCAAATACACATTTAACACTTTAAACAATGTAGAAATAGGAAGGGCATAAACAGGAGCAGTTTCGGTTTTATGCTGAAGGTTTTAATATCACACACCCACACAGACACAGAACACACAGAGATACATACACACATACATGGCTTGTTTATACAAACGCAGCCTGGAATAGACAACTAGGAAATAGTCAATTAAATGATACCACTCTTTTATGACTAAAGCTTCAATTCAAAGGTTATTCTGACCTTTGTTAGAAAGGGTGAAATCTTTTTATCTCTTTTTTGAATTTATCAAAACAAGTGAAAAGGGTTTATTAAGGTAACACAAAGGAGGCATGGCAGGTGAAAGAGACAGGTTTTACAGAAAAGTCACAGAGAGAAGTGAAGAAAGGGGATGACAGAACACAAGACTGAATTCTTTAACAGGAAACTCGCAAAGGCCACAGAAAGAAAACACCATACCCGATGCACTAAAGGGCTCCTGGCCATCAGAAGAGCTTTGGTCTGTTTCTCTGACATAAAATGTGAGCTGAGTTGGTTTCAAAGACTTGAAGCCTGGTTTCTGGAGGTTTTCTAAGTAGACACTTAATCTCTTAAGAGAATTTTCATTGACTTCCTAGGGGAAAAAAAAATTATTAAGGAGCATTTACAAACAAAACAGCAAGCAAAAAAAAATAATCAGAAATTATATCTAATACCTTTAAGACTTCAGAGCAAACTTTGTATTTAGTTTTGCTTGCTGAAATCTGTAACTGTTATACTTTAAAAATTATATTAAAAATAGTTAAAAATTACTATCCCTCTGAGATCCTGGCCTTTGAGTCTGAAACTATGATGAGATGGGACATCAGGTCTGTTTCTTTAGAAAAGGGAAAAGTGTGTTTTGTAAAAGGAAGAAAATGGAATGAAATCTGAGGGACCAGAAGTATGAGCTGCCTTCACAGGGCCTGCATTTTATTTATTTTTTTAAACTTTTTTTACTTCTACTTTTATTCTTTTTTTTTGTGTGTGTGTACCATCAAATCAGGTCTGACTGGTTCAGGAGGAGATTGCCCCTCCTTCTCCAGCAGAGCATCTGGTGGATTTGAACTGCGTACCTTTGGGATTGCAGTGCAAGAGCCTGTATTTTAGTGAGGGGAGCAAAAGAAACAAAAATAAGTAAGTAAGACAGGCTATAAAGTTTTTTAAAAGGTATCAAGGTAAAGGGGATCAAGATAAAGGAGGGCAGGGAATGCTGGGAAGAAACATATGGTGAGCATTTTAAGATGGGTCTGGAGGGAGCTCTGGTGGCCTAGTGGCAAGAAGCTACACAGCAATCCCAGAGGCGCACGGTTCAAATCCACCAGATGCTCTGCTGGAGAAGGAGGGACAATCTCTTCCTGTACCAGTCAGATTCGATTTGATGGCACACACACAAAAAATAATAATATGCACACCCATGTTTATTGAGGTTTTGTTTGCAATAGCAAAGAGCTGGAAACAACCCAAGTGCCCATCAACAAACGAATGGATAGAGAAGCTCTGCTATATTCACACAATGGAATACTACGCTGCATCGAAAAACAATGAACTCATGCAATATTATGCATAATGGGTGACCCTGGAGGACATTATGCTGAGTGGAATATCTCAGTCACAAAAGGACAAATATTACATAGGGCCACTGCTGTAAGACCGGACTGACATCAGGGTTGAGGGAAGACAGAAAAGGAAGGGAGGAATGATGTATATTGTACTGAAACAGATGAGGGACAGCACTGTTTAAAAGGGATATATGAATGGGTATTCTTGTCATTACAGAAGTCCAGAGTGGAGGCTGCATAGGTGGAGTGGACTTTGGGGGAAGGGATTGCATAAATGAAAAAGTTTTTCCTTTTAGTTTCAAGGAGAAGAGTGACTTGGGGGGGTGGGGGTGGGGTGACTGGAAACCCTGTCTCTGTAAACTTTCATTAAAATTAATTAAAAAAATAATATGACAGGCGAGCTCTGGTGGCCTAGTGGCAAGAAGCTACACTGCAATCCCAGGTGTGTGCGGTTCAAATCCACCAGATGCTTTGCTGGAGAAGGAGGAAAAATCTCCTCCTGTACCAGTCAGATCTGATTTGATGGTACACACACACAAATGATAAAAAGAAAATAAAATTTATTTTTAAAAAATGACAAAAAAATTAAAAACTAGAATAACATTACTTTTTTTTACCTAATAATATACTCTTCATAAAATCTTAAAAAAAAAAATTTAAAAAGTGACCCTGAAGAAAAGGTTAAGGACAAGCCCAATCTGGATCTGAGGGAAGGATGTCCGGAGCAGAGGGAAGAGCGAGTCCAAAAGCCTTGGCACAGAGTCAGCACGCAACGGACACAAGTGGATAGAACAACTCCTCTAAGTACACCGTGTCAGGGTTCTCCAAAGCCCCTCAGGTCTGCTGATTCTCTAGGAAAACTCCCGTTCACAGTTCATTACAGTGAGAGGATGCAAATGTCAGCAGGGGTGAAGGCTCAGAGGGTGGAGCCCTGGAGGAACCCTGTGGCCCTCTCTCAGCGGCACCATGGACAGTACTGAATTCTCCCAGCATATACACAACAGCACCCGTCACGTACTGCCCTGCCAGGGAGCTCACCTGAGCCTCAGGGGCCAGGGCTTCACTGGGGGGTGAGTCCTGGACATGCCCAGAACCTGCAAGACTGGTTAGCTACTCAGTCTCCAGCCCTGAGCCCCTTAACAGCTGTGGTCTGAGGCACCCGGTCTGCAAAACCAGGAATTCCTCATAAATCACACTGCATGCCAGGAAATATACGGCCTGCTCGAGACCTCAGGGGTTTCTTCCCAAGACGTGGTGCGGGCCAGACCCCAAGGCAGGCCTGGCTTTGGGATGTACCGTGTGTAAGCAACCAGAGCTCACTCAGTTAACCCTTTACCACACATCTATCTAAACGTGAAAGGTACTCACTGGTAGAGGGGGAAGAGCATTCACCTGGAACCGGGCTTACGGAGCTCTGGTGGCCTCGGGGCAACAAGCTGTGCTGTTAACCCAGAGGCTGTGCATCTCAAGAGGTTCGAATCCACAGGTGGCTCCTGGGGGGAAAGCCAACCTCCTCCTCTGTGACGTCCAGCCTGGGAAGCCCCATGGCAGGCCGCTGTGAGCCACACTCGAGTTGCGGCAGTGAATCTTTTTCTTTTCCTCTTGTTGTGTACGATAAAGTCGGATCTGACTCGATGACTGTCCCTCCTCCTCAATAGGAGCATCTGGTGGGTTTGAACAGCGTGCCTTTGGGAATGCAGTGCAGCTTCTTACCACTAGGCCACCAGAGCTCCATCTGGCAATGAATCTGGAGTTGAGGCTTGGAGTCACCAGGTTAATTGCAACTGACTACTTTTTGTAAGGCAAGGGGTTCAAATCCAGCCAGAGGCTTTTCAGGAAAAAAAAAAAAAGGTCTGATGATTTACTTCTGAAGAATCGGTCACTGAAACCTGAAGAAACCCAGTTGCACTCGGACTCACCTGGGCTCTCCGTAAGTTAGAGTCCTCACAACAGCAGCCAGGTTTGCATTCCTCGGACATATGAACTGCCAGTGGCAGTAGTATGCAAGTCAAGTGAAAACATTAGGGCGCTGCAAAAGGATTCCTAAAAAGAAACTGACCAAAGCAGCGATCAACCTGCTTCTGCTCAGTGGATTCGTTTGTTTTTTTTAACTTGTGTACCACTGAGTCAGATCTGACTGGAGCAGGAGGAAATCACCCCTCCTTCTCCAGCGAAGCATCTGATGGACTGGAACCACGTGCCTTCAGGACTGCAATGCAGCTTCTTGTCACTAGGTTACCAGAGCTCCCCTGCCCAGTGGATTCTGACTTAAAGCAACCTCACAGGACAGAGCAGAACTGTCCTGCAGGGTTCCCAAGACTTTAAAGGGAGCAAACTGCCACACTGTCCTTCCATGAAGCAGCTTGTGGTTATGTGCAGTGGAGCTGAAGTGAATCAGAGCTGACTCTCCACTGGGGATTCAGAGGTGTTAAATCACACTGGAGGAGGCTGCCCATCTTTCTCCCGTAGAGCAGCTGGCGGATCCGAACTGCCTGCCTTCAGGATTGCAGCGCAGCTCCTAACCACTAGGCTACCCAAGCGCCCATGTGGAGTAGCTAATGGATTTGAACTGAGAAATTTTCTGTTAGCAATCTGATGCCTTAACCACAGTGCCATCAGGACTCTGATCACAGAAAGGTCTTACATTTTCTTTTTAAACATCAAATGTAGTCTAAAAGCTGGCCCCAAAAGATATGATTACAAACATAATCTACAGAGGTGACACTGTAGTTTGAGTGCTCTTATAACAAGTAACAGTTTTCACAAGAAATAAGAATTATATTTTCAATTTTAATAATTCTTAGATTTCAATCAGTTGAAAGTACTGGCGATGTCAGTATGACAAAATAATGAAAATTTATAGAATTCTCTCTTTGTATTACACCGAATCAAAGATAAAGAAAGATATAGATAAAGAGAAAATAAAGAAAGAACAATTATTTACCCTTTCTCTAGGGTGCTGTCCGAAGAAATCTGGGTGCACCGCAAAATAGAAAGGCCTCAAAGCATTGACTGCTTCGGCTCCGGATAAAGATCTTGAGTACAGAAGCCAGTTTGGGAGAATCTTCGATATACATAACCTTTAAAAAAAGCCAAGCTTCAGTGTTTCCCTTTTTAGGAGTACACACAGCCAACGTAAAAGCGACTATAAAGTTAAAATTATCAGGCACAAGAATACACCCCAGAATCAACAATGGAAACCAAAATCAGAACTTTATGGGCTTCTGAAATCTGCAAAATTTTAACAGCAGTATTCTACAGACCCAAAGAGGGTGGTGAGAAATTTCTTTGCTTCAATTTAAGGAACGGTGAGTAAGAAGAAAACTTCTCCCCAGGAATTCACTTTGCAATGTTGGCTGACGTCTCTGCCAATGTCATTGTTGTTGTGTACTGCAGAGTCACTCATAGCTGACCCTCCAGCAGGTTTTTGGAGGCACTTAATCTCATGGGAGGAGACTGCTCATCCTTCTCCCATGGAGCAGCTGGTGGCCTCGAACTGTGTACCTTTGGGATTGAAGCGCAGCTTCTTGCCACTAGGCCACCAGAGTTTCTTTCTCTACCAATAACAAAAATTTTAGTTTTTAGGTAATAGATTATAATATCCAAATATTATAAAAGAGGCATTAAGATGCTTTCTTGCTTGTCTGCTCATTACTTATTTGTTGCTGTTATCAACTCAGAGGTGACCCTCTGCTGGGTTTCCGAGGCTGTAAATCACGTGGGAGGAGACTGCCTGCCCTTCTCCCACACAGATCTCTTAGGTTAATAGCACAGCTCCTTCCGAGCCCATCCCACCCAGAGCTCTTCATTACTCACACGCTAAAACAATTCAAGTTGCTTACCTTGATTTTCTTGGTCTTAAATTTTGGCATAACTCACTTTAGAATGTTTCCTTAAGTACAGTTTTAAAATGAAATAAAAATATTTTCAATTTATGGATGCACTCCCATGACACCTATTTTTAAATATTATTTCCCCCCCTCCCCCCAAAGAAATCTATAACAGTCTCTAAATAGCATGCTTTAGGGAGGTGACTGTAGGGACAAGTTCTACTGCTTTCACAGTAGCAGAGATTAAAGATTCCTCTTTGGAGATTATTTAACAATGTGGAAGTAGCCAACATTTTTTTTTTACATCAACATCCTTTTTTAAAAAAAATGTGTTATGTTTTGTGTGTGTGCATCTACCATCAAATTGGATCTGACTGGTGTAGGAAGAGATTGTCCCTCCTTCTCCAGCAGAGCATCTGGTGGATTTGAACTGTGCACCTCTGGGATTGAGGTGCAGTTTCTTGGTACGAGGCCACCAGAGCTTGCCTGATCAGCATTTTTAGATTATGTTTTCTTTTGTTTTTTGCATGGATTTTAAAAAGTTAACATATGGGCTATACATTAGGGATTATAACAGGAATTTCAACAATAAAAGAAAAAATGAAATAAAAGTACTCAAGAAGAAGCCATAAATGTAGACAATTCTGCTTGTTCTGCACTTGAGCTTCAGGTCTCATTTCCAAGGGTCACAGGATAGGACAAGGTTCAGGTCTGCTGCTGAGAGGGTCACTATGAGCAGTACTTGACAGCACCTCACACCAACAACAACAGTAACAACAGACACTTGAACACCTGCTGCACCTCTGTTGTGCTCGGCCACGGGCACCTGAGGGCGGCAAAGCTTCCCAGGCAATACAGTGGTGAACACCGGACAGAAGAGCCGAAGGCACCTTAGGGCAGTGCCACCAGGTAACAGATGGTGCTGTTAACGTGGCTTAATGATAGTGTAGTCGGTGTACCAGGGACTGATGAATACATCTTGAGGAAAATGACACTGAAAATCACTGTTGAGAAAATCCAACACAGGCAAACTGGAACTTTAATATAAAGATGTTAACGAAGGTGAAGATTTTCAACAAAAAGGGTCACAGCAGCAGGAATCAGTTGTCTTTGTAAAGGATCCGACTGTACCTTCTTCAGGGTTTGTTGGTCACCGAGTCTTGAACCTAACTATTTGTTTTTGCTTCAGAGGAAAAGCAGCTCTGCTCCCACTGTCACAGGGGCGATTCTACCTCTTTGTGACCCTGTAGGACCAGGCAGAACTCTGCCACAGAGCTTCCTAAATTATCAATTCTTAGCCTTCAGAAAGTCAACATGAGTATCTATTTTGTACTTAGAGAATATGACTTGATTTCTATTTCATAAAGACTGTGTACTACAGTGAACCCACAGCGGTTTTTCATGACCCACTGCTGTTAGGTGCTACTGAGCAGATCATGTTGTCATGTACTACTAAGTCAGAACTGACCTATAGCTGACCCTCCAGCAGGTCTTCAGAGGCAGTTAATTTCATGGAAAGAGACTGCCCACCCTTCTCCTGTGGAACAGATGGTGGATTTGAACCATATCCCTCTGGGGCTGCAGTGCAGTTTCTTACCACTAGGCCGCCAGAGCTCCCCTAGGGTATATCACAGACACACTATGAACTACAGATCTGAACCCTGTCCTGTCCTGTGCTGTCCTCACTATCTCTGACACACGCAAGCCCATTGCTGCAGTCACTGCGTCAATTCACCTGGTTGAGGGTCTTCCTCCTCTCCACCATTCTTTTGCCTTTCTAAACACGATGTCCCTCTCCAAGAAATAGCCTCTCCTAGCAACATGCCCTAAGTATGTGAGATGAAGGGTCATCATCTTTGCCTCCATGGAACACTCTGGCTGCACCTTCTCCAAGACATAACTGTTCGTTCTTTTGACAGTTCATGGGGTAGTCAGTATTCTTCAGCACCACACATCAAAGGCATCCATTCTTCTTCTGTTGTCCTTATTCAATGTCCAACTCTCAGATGCACAGTGACTAAGAAGACCATGGCCTGAATCAGGTGCACGTTAGTCCTGTAACTGACATCACTGCTCCTCAGAAGTTAGGAGAGGTCACTGACTACAGACTTTCCCAGTGCAATACGTCTCCTGATCTCCTGACTGCTGGTATCAAGTGTACTGATTGTGGATCCAAGTAAGATAAAATCATTGATGATTTCAATCTTTGCTCCACTTATTATCATGTTACCTATCAGTCCAGTGCAAAGATTTTGATTTTCTTGACATTGAGATGCAATCTGTACTGAATGCTGCAGTGCTGAACTTTCTGCAGCAAGTCCTTCATGACTCATTCTTAAGTTGCGAAATCAGGCTGGGGAGCCTCCATGAAATCAAAGACTAGAACAGAAAACCCTAACGGGCACAGCACGTAGCTAGAGTAACCACGGACAGGACATTTTGTTTTATAGGCTATGAACAACTGTTCTCTGTAGGATGGGATCAAAAAAGCTGGAGCAGCACAGCCCTATTCTATGCACTGACTGCTCTCCACTCCAATGATGGGCATCAGCAGAAGCAGGAAGTATGACTAAAGAATAATCATGCGACCTGGTAACATTTAGTCCAACATGCTCTAACTGTGTTACAAAGTTAGAGTACATGAACATAAAGCCCACAACAAGAGAAAAGTAAATAACCCAGTTGAAAAATGGGCACAGGATATGAACAGACACTTCACCAAAGAAGACAGTCAGATGGCCAATACACATATGAAGAAATGTTCAAAATCCCTAGCTCTGAGAGAGATGTGAATCAAAACAACTATGAGATATCATCTCATCCCAGTAAGAACAGCACAATTTAATAGAACAGCAAACATCAAATGCTGGTGAGGTTGTGGAGGAACCAGAACCCTTATTAACGGTTGGTGGGACTGTAAAATGGTATAACCACTATGGAAGGCTATATGGTGCTTTCTCAAAAAGCTGCAAATAGAAATACCTTTTGACCCAGCAATTCTACTACTGGGAATTCACTCTAAAGAAACCATAACTGCCACCCAAACAGATGTATGCACACCCATGTTTATTGCGGCTTTGTTCACAATAGCAAAGAGCTGGAAACAACCCAAGTGCCCGTCAACAAACGAATGGATAGAGCAGCTCTGGTATATTCACACACTGCAATACTATGCAGCATTGAAAAACAAGGAACTCATGAAGTATTATGCAAAATGGATGACCCTGGAGGACATTATGCTGAGTGGAATATCTCAGTGACAAAAGGACAAATATTGCATAGGGCCACAAATGTAAAACGGGACTGACATCAGAGTTGAGTGAAGACAGAGAAGGAGGGGATGAATGATGTAAATTGCATTGAAACAGATGAGGAAGAGACTGTTTAAAAGGGATATATGAATGGGTATTCTTGTCATTACAGAAGTCCAGAGTGAAGGCTGCATAGTGGAGTGGACTTGGGGGGAGGGACTGCATAACAATGAGTTTTTCTTTTCAAGGAGAAGAGTGAATTGAGGGGGGAAGGGATGGGCAGGGAGAAAAGTGCAACAATGAATGACTGGAATCCCTAAGTTTTTGTAAACTTTCATTAAATTATAGTAATATAATAATAAAAATAATAATAAAAGAACATAAAGCTTGAACTTGGTTTTCTGTATGTGGCCTAGTCGTAAGAAACTGCACTGCAATCCCACAGGCATACAGTTCAAATCCATCAGCTGCAGTTAGAATCCACTAGCTGCTCTGTGGGAGAACGATGGGTAAATGTGTTTAACTAATAGCCTCTGAAAGCCTGCTGGAGGCTCAGCTACGGGTCGGTCCCGACTCTATGGTACTCAACACAACATGAACAATATTTCTACATTTGCAGACACTGTTCAGTGCCTCACATGATTTCTAAACTTAATGATTCCTGCTATAAATACAATTCAAGGGATGCTTCCCCTCTTTTGATAATCCTTGTGATTTACTGAGTTGGTGGAAAAATATCCATTTCTTCTAAACAACTCCCTTTAACAGTGGCCAGGAGCCCTGGTGTCAAGCTAGTAAGTGAAAGGTCTCTGGTTGTTAACCCCCCAGATACTCCTGGAGAGGATCCTCTTTCTCAAAATTCACTGTCATATCTGTGTCAAGTTCATTGCCACAGGGTTGACAAACTTCCAGGGTCAAAGGAGAAGTTTCCTAGGCTGTAAATATTTACAGAAGCAAACCTCCCTCAGGGCAGCAAGTAAGTTCAAAACACAGCTCTTAGGGGAGCTCTGGTGGCCTAGTGGCAAGACGCTGCACTGCAATCCCAGAGGTACACAGCTTGAATCCACCAGATGCTCTGCTGGAGAAGGAGGGACAATCTCCTCCTGTACCAGTCAGATCTGATTTGACGGTACACACAAATAATAAAATAAAAAAAACAAAAACAAAAACAAAAAACCACGCAGCTCTTTTGGTTTTCAGGGAAGTAACTAACCTTGGCACCAAGATAGCACTCAATAGTCATGTCAAAGTCAAGCACAAGCTGACCCTCCAGCACGTTTTCAGAAGCTCTGAATTGGACAAAATGAAACTGTTCATCGTTCTTCCTTGAAGCAGAGGGTAGATTTGAACTACTTGCCCTTGGGCTGGCAATGCAACTCCTTAGTAATGAAAAGGTATTGTCAAATTTATATTTAAAATCTGTAACCCAAGGTATCTTTTTCACCCTATAGACCAAACCTCAGTTCAGTTGTAATTTTTTAAGCCAAATGATACTTTATTTCTCTTCTGATTTGGCAACCAAAACAGAACTAAAGGTGGCCCATACAGCGCTGCTTCTTCCTACAAAGATCTCCTTTCTCTGTGGGATTCTAATCTTATATGCCTGATATTATGCTTACTAGGTTTGTAGCATTGTGCTCCTTAAGCTTTTCTTAAGGTAAATGAGATATAAATTAGCTAGTCAGCAGTATGGGGCTGGAATCCAGTTTGGAAATCATGTGCAGCAGCCTGATTCTACAGAGGTTTGGTTGCTGGTTCTGCTGAGGATTAGGGTGGAATGCTGACTCGCTAATGGGTGTGAGATGATATGATTCTGCCTCCTATTTCAAAATGCATTTGGGCCCTTGGGCCTTGGTCAAACATTCTTCTTAAGTGGTATAACACTGGTCTGCCCATTTGCTGTTCCAAGGTAACTCGTGGTTGCTGTGATGCTGAACATTGTGACACTGATGTATCAAATATGATAATGGTTCCCCATGGAGGACAGTGTTTGGTGGAGCTTGTTAAAACAAGCTTGGAAAGCAGGAGTGGCACCCACTTCCAAAATGGCTTGCCTCTGGAAACTCCATGAAGGTGGAGAAATGATGAAAATTATACAAGTGTTCAGGTCTATGACTCAACGGCACTTAACAACAACAACAACTGCAAATAAGGTTAGAGGACTAAGGTTGCCAGATTCAAGCCATGTTCTTTCCAAGCACATGCTATGATGCTGAGACCTGGACAATGAATAAAGACAGAAGAAAATATCTTTGAACTGTGGTGTAGGAGAAGGGTACGGAATATATCAAGAAGGGCCAAAAGAACAAACAAGTATGTCTCGGAGAAGGTGCAGACACAGTGTTCCTGGAAGGCAAGGGTGATGAAGCTTCGTCTCTTGTATTTTGGGCTTGTTGTTAGGAGAGGTTATTCCTTGGAGAGGGACATCATGTTTGGAAAGGTGGAGGGATAGTGAGGGAGAGGAAGACCCTTAACTAGGAGGACTGACCCCGTGAACTGCAGCAATGGGCTAGAGTGTGTCAGAGGTTATGCGGATGGCACAGGAGAGGACAAGGTGACTGGGCTGTTGTTCAGAGGGTCAACTCTACCACACCTAATAAAAACAACAGCAGCAGCAGCAGCAAAAGAAGGGAGCCGCTCTGGTGGCTTAGAGGTCAGGAGCTGCTCTGCCAATCTGTTGTTGTTACGTGTCATCGAGTCGTTGTTACATGTTGAGTCGTAGGTGACTCATAGCGACCCTATGGACGAAAGTCCTCACCACTTGTGTGACTTTCATCCTTTCTCCAGGTTCATAGGGTTTCCGTAGGCAAGCTATTACAGAAGTAGAGATGCCACTCCTGCTTCTAAGCTTGTTTTAATCAGGGAGCTCCACCAAACACTGTCTGCCATGGGTAACCATTAACAACACACAATTCAAATCCACCAATTGCTCTGTGGTAGAAAGATGGGCAGTCTCCTCCCATGTGAAACTTCTGAAAACTGTTGCCAAAAAAACCCCACAAAACCAACCAGCTTCTGTAGGCAACAAAAAACGTTAAAATTTTTCCTTCTAAGCTTTGTACTCGGAACCCTGACGGAGTCTTATTTATATCTTTATCTCTTGGGGGGGACCTGGTAGTTGATATTCTACCACAACATAAGATGAGAGTTTAAAGATAATAAGAAATTGGAATTAACCAAATGCATGCCAGATTTTACAACCTCCTTCATTCTCATGGCTCAGGACAGGGCAGGACTTAGAGCTAATATACACAGGATACATAACAACAACATACTCATCACAGACTGAACCTTTAAGCTTACCTTCTCATAGGTCTCAGGTGGCAAAACATTTCGGAATACCAACTTCCAGGCATCCATTAATCGCTTAAAAAGCTAAACAGATAAAAGAGGGAAAATTATTTGAGTCAATCATATGAACTTTCCCAAGAATCTAGATCTTTAGCAAGATAATAACAATACAAGTTAATTAAGGTATTAACACATACTATGGTCTTCCCATTAACTGGCTAAGTGATTTTTGTTTTTTAATACTTAGTTCCACTCTTTGCCACATTAACCTTGAGAATGAAGAACATTCTCAGCAACCAGACTGTCTACATTCCAGAGAACAGGGCTGGACAATTATTGTGAAAGGGCCGCGGGGAACCTTGCGGAGGGACTTTAATCACATCAATGTAGAGCTCAGTCTCCTCGGAAAGAAAAAGAAGAGGCTTCATGTTGACAACTGGTGGGGAAACAGGAAGGAGCTGGCTACTGTTCACACCATCTGTAGCCACGTACAGAACATGACCAGGGGTGGGACACTGGGCTTTCGTTACAAGATGAGGTCTGTGTATGCTCATTTCCCCATCAACGTGGTGATTCAAGAGAGTGGATCTCTGGTTGAAATTAGAAACTTTTTGGGTGAGAAATACAGTCTGAGGGTTCAAATGAGACAAGATGATACTTGTTCAGTATCTCAAGGCCAGAAAGATGAGTTAATTCTTGAAGGAAATGACATTGAGATTGTATCAAATTCAGTTGCTTTGATTCAGCAAGCTACAACAGTTAAAAACAAGGATATCCGAAAATTTCTGGATGATATCTATGTCTCCGAAAAAGGAACTGTCCAGCAGGCTGATGAGAGACAGCTAATTTTCCAGAAATGAGGCCGGTCAAATCATATGCATCTGATTTCAAAATGGATCTGATTCTTGTTAATAAAATTCTATTAATATGGAAAAAACCCACCACCTTGGTTCCATCTCCTCCTCTACCTCCTGCACAAAGCTCTATTAACATCTTCCATAAGTGTTAACAGAGTGGTTTTTAAAATCCTCTCACAGTTCCTTACCAAGGTTTTAAGTTATCACATTATTCATGTAATAATTACAAAATAAACAAACTCTGCTCCCATCTTCCTACATTCTAAGTTTTCTCCACTCTTATGTCATTCTTTAAATAAAATTTTGTGATTTTAACAAACATTTACTGAGAAGTTAGATTTTCATTCTTTAATTGTTGCACATTTTACTCCCTCTCCCTCCCTTGGTCCACTTTAAAAAAAATCATTCATTATTATACAACTGTCTCCCCCCAACCCCAGTCCTCTTTGCAAGAATACACTTCTTATTAAGGGCTGTTGTCATATGTATAATCATATATTCCTTTCAGACAGGTTTTTAAAAATCTTTTCCAGTGCAATGGTCATTATCCTATTTTCCTCCCAAACACTCCACGTCAGACCTGCTTTGTAACAGTGATGCTATGCAGTATTTGTCCTTTTATGGCTGAGATATTTCACCGAGCATGATGTACTCCAGAGTTCCTCATGTTGTGCAATGTTTTGTGTTCACTGTTTTTCAGTGCTGCATAGTATTCCATTGTATGATATACCACAGTTTCCCTATCCATCCATTTGGGTCCCCCCCCCCATCCATTCATTTGTTGATGGGCATTTGGGTTGCTCCTATCTCTGTTATAACACAGCAATAAACATGGGTGTGCTTGTTTCTGTCTGGGTGGTAGCTCTAGTTTCCTTAGGGTATACCATTCCTAGTAGTGGAATTCTGGGTCAAATGGCATTTCTATTTCCAACTTTTTGAGAAAGCACCAAACTGCCTTCCATATGGTTGCACCAATTTACACTTCCACAAGCAGTGACTGGAGGTTCCAATTTCTCCACAGCCTCACCACTATTTATTGTTTGCGACTCTGTTGAACTTTGTTATTGTTATTGGGGTGAGATGACATCTCCTAGTTGTTCTTATTTGCATCTGATAGCAAGGGATTTTGAACATTTATGTGTTTGTCTGAATGTCTTCTCTTTTTTCACTGTGTGCCATTAAATCAGATCCAACTGGCACAGAAAGGAGACTGCCCCTCCTTTCTCCAGTGGAGCATCTGGTGGCTTGGAACTGCGCACCTTAGGGATTGCAGCTTTTTGCCACTAGGCCACCAGAGCTCCCTGAATGTCTTCTTTGGTACAGTATCTATTTACATCCTGCGCCCATTTTGCTACTGGGTTGTTTAACTTTTTCTTGTCGAGGTGCTGGAGTAGTCTATACATTTTAGATATGAGTCCCTTATCAGACATTCATTACCAAATATTTTATTCCCAGTCTGTCTTTCCTTTTTATCCTGTTGGAGAAGTGTTTTGATTTGCACAGGGAGTCGATTCTTAGAAGGTCCTATTCATCTATTTTGTTCTCTCCTGGTTGTGGGTCTTATTTCATTCTTGTAGACAGGAGCTAAACAGTATATCTTAAAATACCACAGAATTCTGAGATAAACCTATTATATTTTTAGGCAATATACTCACAATACAGCTCACTTATCTGAACCAAAGTAATGTGATAAAGTGCCATTACTACAGTAATGAAAATACACACTAAAAGGGAAAAAAGAAAAAAAAAGGGAAAAAGATTGTGCAATATCTTCTTAAAAAAAAAAAGAAAAGAAAGTGCATGTGTGTAAACTATGTCTTTGAGCTGTGGTGCTGGAGGAGTGCTGAATACACCATGGATTGCTAGGAGAACAAATAGGTTCATCCTAGAGAGGGTGAGACCAGGCTGCTCCTTGGAATCAAGGATTCTGAAGCTTCATCTGACATACTTTGGACATGTTGCAAGGAGGGACCAGTCCTTGGAGAGGGACTTCGTGCTTGTGAGGGTAGAGGGTCAGCACAAGAGAGGAAGATCCTAGATGAGATGGTTTGACTCAGTGACTGGGGTAACTGGGGTGGGTGTGCAGAGACAGTAAGGATGGCACTGGATATAGAGCAGGGTTCAGAACTGCTGTACACAGGGTTGCTATGAGTCTCAAGTGACTTGAAGGCACACAACAACAACAACATGGCTACTTGAACTTCTAGTGAAGAAGAAGACTGGAGTGGAGTCTCTGGAGTTCTAAGACACGTGTGAGCATTTTTAAACATCTTCTCCTTTAAAATGATGCTCTGAGAACGAAAAGTGACAGAGGAGGTGACCTTCGATCAGCATCTGGCATGTGGAAAGCAAAAAGGAAAGATGGCACAGGAACTAAAGAGAAGTAAAAAGAAAGAGGAAACAACTATTGAGGCAGCGAGGATCAGCTAAGGGCAGCATCCAGCATCGTTGTTCCTGTAAACCACTTTCCAGAGCACTGCAACCTTCCACTGGGCTGCTGACTTCACTAGAGGAAACCGGCTCCTCCTTCAGGGTGGACTCAAACCACCAACCTGTCAGTTAGCAGTTGAATACCTAACACTGCTGTCAAGTATTTCCCCAACTAATGGTGATCATGACTGATGACTGGTTTGGGACCAGACTTACGGTCTGACCATTGCTTCTGGGTAGTCTGAAACTCTTCAACTTCCTGGCAACATACAAGCTTTGACTGACAGCTGATAGGTGCGATGCACGGTGTGAACTTGCTAAAACTCAGGTACTCCAATGTGCCGCTGTAGTTATGGGCCATCATGCTGACTCTGATCTCGTGACCTTATGAACAACACATCTAAACCTTGCCCTCTCCTATGCCTTCCTCATCATCTCTGCCACACCTGAGCCATTGTTGCCTGAGCCATTGTTAACGTCACTCTGTGCTGGTCCATCCAGTGGAGGGGTGAGAATTCTACCATCAAGTGGAAGAACCAACTGCACCACCAATGCCCTCGAGCAGAAATGCAAATGAAGAGGCCCCAGTTCAGCCTTGCCGAGTCAGAAATTCTGGGGTAGGACCCAGCAATCAATGATTTAACAAGCCTGGTGGCACACCTGGTCACTGCAGGGCTGTTAAATGAAAGGCCAGCAGATTTACCATCTCAGAAATCCAAAGGCGGGTTGGGACTGACAGCAGTGGATGTTTGGTTTTGATGTAGGGGGATTGTGAAGAATGCTTATGTTTGAGAACCAGCTTCTAAGGGAATCCTGATTCTAGCATCACACGGGATTCTGAGGTCTCTGTTGTGAACACTTGTTGAATACAAACTTTGGAGTCCTTGGGTGGTACCAATGATTAAGCACTTGACTCCTAGCTGAAAGGTTGACAGTCTACATCCACTCAGAGGTGACTTTTAAGATAGACCTGGCGATCTGCTTTCAAATGGTCCCAGCCTTTCAGAGTCCCAGAGAAGAGGTCACCTCTACAGACCTGCGGCGGTCAAGCCTCTGAAGTGACTTAACTACAACAGGTAACAAAAGCACAAACTTTGGGAATGAAACTGAGAGACACATTTACAGGCTTTAAAAAAAAACACCAACCAACCAGAGAAGAAAAAAACACCCCAGAAATCAAACACTGGTTGTCTGAACTGTTTCCTTTATGGCTTATCCCCTTCTCTAAAGAATAAAAAATCAGTGGAAAGGTTAGATCCTCACAGGGGAGCAGGCGGGGCAGCTTGTCTTTCTGCACGAAGCACAGATCTTGAGTTGGTCTTCAACTCTGCATAGTGAAGAACCCAATTTTATCACTTTGGCTAGAAATAAGCAGGGCCTGGGAAAATGAAATCTGTAGGGTTCTGGCGGATCACGAGAAGGTTAACTTTTACAGTGACTATGAGAAACAGAACTAAGACTATCAGAGTATTCTCAGATCCACTGCCCCTTATCGTCCCTCAGTTACAAAGAAAATCCCATCACCCTGAGCTGACTGAAGTCTGCTTTGGAGCAGAGCTGGCTGCCTGACATTAGCTCCGAAGGCCTGGGACACCCACATCAAACTGCTGGGTTCTGGTCTTTTGATAAGTTCTTACAAAGGTGATTTTCCTTCTTTCTTTTTTCTTTTGAGGGGGTTTAGAGTGCCTACCTTATTACTTATTTAGTTTTAAAAACAAACATTTTTATTGGAGTGACGGTTTACAAATCATCTT